TCCTCAGCGGGAGTCGAACCTTGACAGTGCAGAATGTGAGACTAGTAGAGTTCCGAGACTACCAGTAAATCAGTAATATGAGATTTATTCACCCAATTTCGTTTAAGGTAGTAGAATTTTCCCACAAATTTTCCCATTCTGCACTTTCACGGTTTGACTTCCGCTGGTGGTGATGATAAGACCGATACGAGGTCAAAACTGCAGTTTATCCTGAATGAGAAAAACTTTTGGGAAAGTATGACAATGTGAAAATTAATGGAAACTTCAGCTCTGCTCATATCATTATGGGAAAATTCTACTACCAATCCTTCATCACCTTAAACGAAATTGGGTGAATACATCTCATATTACTGATTTACTCGTAGTCTCGAAACTCTACTTAAATACGAAAAATAAGTAACGTAGTCTATTATTATAGCAAATATACGTTTGCTTCATCAGTAATCCCACCAAAGTATGTGATATGGCAAAAGGCCTTGCATTCCTTGAAATTCACATCTTCCCTTTAGACACAAGGGCACTCGTGGCATTGTGGCCGAGTGGTTAACGTGTCAAGCTCACCTTCTACACTGTCACGATTCGACTCCCACTGAAGGTGTTGATAAGACCGATTCGAGGTCGAAACTGCAGTCGACTGGTGCTTGCACGGGAAAAACTTTTGGGAAAGCAAGGCTTTGTGTAGTAACTGCTGCCAAAGCATTGTTAAGCTATAGAACGACTACTTTACCCTTTGGCAACAGGTCAAAGTGAGTTTAGAGGAATTACATAAGCCAAAAAATAGTTACTATTTCGTGTGTCCTAATTAATAAAGTAGGAATTGAATAAGATGTAATTTTTTAGTAAGCGCCCAAATAATGAATGGCTTTTTAACTTCCTTTCTCATTATACATTTGATGTCAAACATGGCTATAGGAAATCCATAATAGTAAGAAATTTGCATCTACCGGCTGTAGATCACCGCGACAAGAAAGTGGAAAGGCAGGGGAATTATTTAGATAAGAAAAATTATCAGTTATGATTACCTTCCAATTATTTTACAATACTAAGCAGTAGGATAAAGTAAGACAGCTATTCGGAGAAAAATGTAAATGTGGTGAAATTTATTAAATTTCGCAAGTGACTGTCCTGTCTGCTTTCGAACTTATGAGTTCACTGCTACTCGGGAAGTCAGGCGCCGATATCTTCTAATGGCAACTAATTTCTCTAGAGCGAATGGATAGGACAAGAAAATTTCGCTTCAACGACATAGCTTACAACATGGGATAAAGTTGAGGGGTTTCGAGTGTTCCGGTCTTGGGAAGCCGATACGGGCTGAGAAGAGCAGATTTATTATATGAGTCATTATATTATATGTTTTTGAGTGAAAAGTGACTGAGCCTTTTTTCCTAATATGGTGGTACATCTACCGTTAAAAGTAAGGTAAGAGAAGCCATCAAAATTAATAAAATAGCGAATACTTTGAATGTGGGAACGATTGAAAGAAGGGTGAGTAAGAATCAGACGTACGTGATTACGCAAATCCATGTTATGTCTTTATTAGGTGAGTAAACTTTAATGACCCTAGACGTACAGGTTGTGGCAGGGGGTTTCGTACACGTACAAGTTTACACTTCATTATCTCAACCAGACATACTTACGCACTTACACAGTCTCAGTGGAAGCTTTTATTGGGTCATTATGTCTATTTCCTCATTCTGATTTAGGACCAGTATTGCGTATAGACGTCAACATACACACACACAAACTCGAGTAGAAGAAGCATGAACAATATGAAAGATAAGTAAACAAACAATTTTATATCTATATATGTATATACATTTTCACTTTTTAGTAAAGGAGTATATATGAGGCAATCTAGAGCCGGACAGTCTGTTTGACTGAGTTTTTGTTAACTCGAGACTTTTACAAGAATGAGTTCAAGATCTGATGATGTCCATCATATGATGGACGATAGATCAGCCCCTTTTCACCCGAAACGAGGGAGGATGTATCGTGGACTGCGTTAACTTGAACGTCGTAGTAAATCCAAATGGCTGAAGTGCATCCGGAATCATCTGTCGTCATCTGGTGAGATTGACCTAAGAACCTCTTCACCATGCACTTTCATACAAAATGAAAGTCTCCTCGAAAATCCCAGAGAGTGTCTTGTAATGTTACAATATGTTTGACCTTTTCCCTTTTCAAATAATCCAATAGGTGTTTAAAGGAGTTGGTCTGATGACTTTTGGGGAAATCTATGCCAGCCTCCTTCAAGCATTCTTTGCTCTTCCTTCGACTTCAAATAGGTCTGGTACAGCATCGATGCATGTTTAGGATCCTTGAACTTATCACAACTTTAAGCCATGTTTCTGCAGAAAGAAGAATGGTACTTCATTTTGTTCAATGTTTAGTTGATCAGGTGGGGGTCACCAATTCCAGAACAGGCGAAACGTCTCTACACTCGAATATTTCTCTTATGATTGGAAATGTAACCTCAACATTTTGATTCATATTCAAACCAAACTTTCTTCCAGTCTCCAAGACTCAAATTGCTGTATTGTTTGACCCATACTAAATGTTTACACATTTTTTGTTGTCAAGGGGATGGTTTTGAAACAAAGTCCCTCCCATGAAAGCCGAAGTTTGTCAGTCGTCTTTCGACTTTACTTTTACTTACTTTATTCGGTTGGTGTAGATGTTCTTCTGCATTGCACTGTAGTTAGCATGTTATATTGGTCTTCAGGTCTGTCCGACCTACACAGTGACAAAAAAGAAGTGATCCTCTACTTTGCAGGGGCATACAATACCATCTGGCTTAAAATTGTGTGAAAGGATAATGATTCTAAGGATGTATCGAAACTGTGCAAGATTTTCCCCATATTCACGAAAGAGTAAACTGTAAAACATGTAACATTACTAGACGCTCTCTGAGATTCTTTAAATATGTGCTGAAAAGGCAATGAAACACAAATTATGCAAAAACTTAGAGTATTTATATGTCGTTTCATAGGTAGGCTTTCGAGCCTACCAGTAGATGTGATATAATAGCGGTGTTCAGCTTATTTCATTTAAGCTGATAAAGAACTGATAGTTAAGCAGGACCCATGAGTTATATTCATATGATTGTGTGAAAATTCCACTACCTTCAACGAGAAGGAAATACATACCTCTTATGTCAGATCTGCTGGTAGTCTCGAGAATGTTATTATAAACCAAAAATAAATAACATATTCGATTATAATAGCGAATACAACTTTGCATTATCGACGATCCCGACACAGAAAGTGATATGGACAATAGCTGGTCTTCCTTGAAGTTCATTCCGTACTTGTGACTCAAGGGCACTAGTGGCATTCTGGCGTAGTGGTTAACGTGTTGAGGTTATGCGCTACAGTGTCATGGTTCCACTCCCGTAACGGATATTGATAGGACATAGGTGAGGATGAAAGTAAGGTCCATCATAGATAAGAATACCTTTTGGGAAAACAAGGCTATGTGAAATTCAATGGGAGAGCCATTTTTATACATATTATTATCAAATGATTCAATTAAGAGGACTTCATTACTTTACACGAAATAGGGTGGAAACAATTCATAAATCTGATTTACTGGTAGTCCCTAAAACCTATTCGAAACGAAAAATAGGAGCATGA